GAGAGAGAGAGAGAGAGAGAGAGAGAGAGAGAGAGAGAGAGAGAGAGAGAGAGAGAGAGAGAGAGAGAGAGAGAGAAAGAGAGAGTGCTCGCGCCCCTCACGTTTGTCCACATGCTGCTTCAAGTGCTGCTCTTCGCATTCACCTCGCTGACACCTGAGGATGGCGGAGCTGCAAGGAGGTTGACTGAACACGACACACCTACGATAAGGGGGGCGGCCCAGCTCGTACGCATTCGATTTCGCAGCTGCCCTTGGAAAGTGGCGGCTGCAAATTCCCCCCCGAACAGTCAAAAAAAAACAAAAACAAAAACTCTCCTAGACTTTCCGGGCCTTCCGGATTGTTGGTGAGGGCGGTAAAAATTAAGCCACTTTTTTTTTGGGCGGCCCAGGGCATGATCAAATGCCCTGGACCGGCCAAAAAAGATTTCGCCATTGCGCTGTGGCCCTCACATCCGGACCGAGCTCCGGACCAGGCGCCCGGACCCCGGACCATGGACTGTCCGGGTCTCTGTCCGGTGGTCCGGATCATAACCATGCTATTATCGTACGGCCTAAAAATCAAAGAACCAAAGAGGCAAAAAAGAGAATCAAAACAAGCAAGCTGGCAAATCAAGAAAAGGGTGTAGGTGGGTATATTAATCGTTCTAGAGAATTTTTAGGGTTTAGGTAGGTATATTAATCGTTTCCCCAAATTTCTCAAATTCGGTGGAATTTGAGACTCTCATTTTGACAGCTCTGGGACATTCAACTCATGATGCCTGTAATTTCGTTCTGCATGCCAATAGAAGGAAAACTTCTGAAAAAAAAACAAAACAGAAAAAGACAAAATCAGGGAATTTGGGGAATTCGGAAATTTTGATTTCCCGAAATTCCTTGAACAAATTTGAGCATTTCATTAGTCATATTTGCTATGTACAGTGCTAGGACTCGTTCGAAAGCTCACCAGTACAAGATTATCACGCAGAAGTATTAGTATGGAGTACAATGGACAAACCGACGTCTTGTATCTGGGTCATGCGATCTCGCAGGCTGGGTTTAGGCCGGAGGTTGCAAAAGTATAGCAGCCATTAGGGACTGGCTTGCGATTGCAGTGAGATATTTCTGGGGATAAGCTAGCTTCTTGACGACGGATGCCGCTGTGCTCGATGAACAGTCAAGTGGATATTGATGGTATTGTCGAGCCCGTATACCTTCTGCTACCTAACCCAACGGGCAGAGGGAGACCACCGTAGCCACAACTGCAAGTCCGGGTTCCCTTCAGACATCAGGTCGATCCCAGTGAAGATCGGTGGTTTACAAGAAGAGTTAATAATGAACTCTGCAGCCCACCGGTTGCACATCATGAGACGGCTCTCGAGGGAAAGCAATGGCAAAAATGAGGACATCTTAGAGGACTTTTGAACTTAAGGTGATGAGAATGCAGGGCACCAAGGCTATGCGGGACTAAGTTGGGGTTGTGACAGACTGGGATGCCTGGCCTGGTAGGGACTGGGCCAGTAGGCATCCCCTACCAGCCTCGTGAACAAAAGTCCAGACCTGGGCAGAAGGCACGTTACGGTAGTGGGCGCTTTGTGGGAAATGGCTGGCGTTTGTAGCGTGCAGCAGAACGGCCCCCTAAGTCGCGGTTGTGACAGACTGGGATGCTTGGCCTGGTAGGGACTGGGCCAGTAGGCATCCCCTACCAGCCTCATGAATAAAAGTCCAGACCTGGGGAGAAGGCACGTTTCGGCAGCGGGTGCTTTCCGGGAGATGGCTGGCATTTGTAGCGTGCAGCAGAACGGCCCTGCGCCCAGAGAGCATTGCTAGCGGTGCATTGGCAGGCAAAGCGTTGGTGGCGAGGTGAGAGGTAGTCTATTTGTAAGTGAGGCAGGCTGTGGTTGTGGAGGATACTTAGCTGGTGATCGGCGGGGGAGTTCCAGCATGGTCAGACTCTCTAGTGGTCAGTGGGAAGAGAGGAGAGAGCTTGTATAGCTAAGGGCTTCTGCTCTGTTGTTGTGTCAGAGTGGAGGCGAGAAGTGCTGTGGGTGTGGAGGATGCTTAGCTGGTGATCAGCGGGGGAGTTCCGGCATGGTCAGACTCTCTAGTGGTCAGTGACAAGAGAGGAGAGAGCTTGTATAGCTAAGGGATTCTGCTCTCTTGTTGTGTCAGAGTGGAGGCGAGAAGTGCACTGTCATTAGCAAGAGACTTCAATTTCCTGTGTTCTTGCATTGGTGGGATCATGACCTTTCCAGTTTTGCATTCAGTTTGGTCAACTCATGGTTCGTCTTCAATGAATTTGTGTTGGTCAGGATTTTTGTGTTCGGGGACAGGCTGGATCCTTGCATTTTTGGGGTCCTTTAAAAAAAAAAAATGGTTCCTTCAAAAAGAATCAGAGCAATCTGGGAAAAAACATTATGTTGTGCAGGATTGCAAGATTGCAATATCAGCAACTTTTGGCTGAGGCTTATTTCAAAATCCACCCCCCAATGTGAGAGAAAAACCGTGTTGCGAACTTTTATGATGATGCTGACTTCCCACGACGTAGTCAGCCACACTGTCAATGGGATGATGATGAAGTGGATGGTGTTGATGACAACGACGACGATGACAAACAGTGATGAAGATAAATGATGTTGGTGGTAGTGATAATCACCGCCACAAGTGCGCGAATGACAAAGATGTTTGAAAAAAATGCTCCCTCGCGGCCCTGCCTTGGACAGCGAACAGGGTGGAAGGTGGGTCGTTCCTACTCCGATACGAGTGTGACGTGCGCTGGGTTCGAGGATTACGAGTGAGAGGGAGTGAAACGCACACCCTCATGGCCACATGCCCATGCACAACTCGACTGATACGGTGAACGGATTATCAGAGAAGAGTTTCACTAGGAACCCAATGCCGAACGGCGAACTCTCTTCAATGATCTCAAACAGACTACAGCATAGTGTTCCACACTGATGTTTTGTGACTGGTACGAGTACTATGGAGCAGGCTAATGGCTACACACTTGTCTGAGGGGTATGTTCGGAATTTGTCGGTACCAGCAGGGCACTGATGGGAAATGTACGAGGAACAAAGATGTTAACTGTGCTGGTACTGAGGAGTCGTGAGGACATTCCAGAAAAAAAAGAATTCTCAGGTTCCCAGCATGAGGTCCCGGTGTCGAGCCCCCGGCCACATCCGTAACAGCATGTGCTGGCTTCCATGGATCGGCCGCCAATATGCAAGATTCACGTGAAGCGAGTGGTGGTCATCATCGAGTGATATTTTGTCATAGCCGCCCTCCAATAGTCCTTGCAGATCTGGCAACTCGTGATGTTTGTATGTCAACTTGTTATTTCAGAGCTCTGACTTGAAAGATACTTCTGCCTTTGATCCATTTCTTTGATTTCAGCATGACATTGCATCACCTCATATCACCTCATGAGTTCATGCCCTGTGTCTCTTTGCAACTCTCACGTCATCATCATCGCTTCCCTCCTTAGCTGTAGGCCCTGTTATGCAGTAGGCGCTGTTATGATCCACCACTGTCAACAGCGGGTTCTGCGAGATGCATTCCAACCTCTGTCTTCGTGCTCGTTCTGCAGCTGCCCTGCCTGCAAGCCAGTTGTCATTGGCCTTTATGAATTACTTCACATCCTACCTCTTCTGCCTTCCTTTCTTCAGTCCTCGTCCGTTGTAGCGGTTGTCTCTTTTATGGGACCTTCGATCGATAACCTACCATGTCTTCGGAGCGTCCTCTAGCATTTCAACTATGCTTCCAACTTGTGCTGGATCTTCCTTCTATTAAAACTGCATTAGTTCTGCACTCTTCAGTGCATCAACCTTATGTAAATCTGCATTGTCTCTGCACTCTTTAGGAGTGCTCCACTGTCCTTGTTGCCTCCCTAACTCGTGGGGCACTGTGAAGAGTGCACCTTCACCATTACCGCCTCTTCCTGCGCTTGTCTGTCCACTGTCCCTGCCTCACAGACCACCCATGCATTGGGTTTCTCCTGAATTTGTGCAGGATAGCCTTATTGGGCTACCCTGTCATTTTATCGCCCAGAACTGGCATAGGATACCCCGCATGCGTTGAAATAATTCACACATCGAAGAATTTGATTAGCACAATTTAGCAGACTTCTGATGGAGCTTCAATAGCACGCACTCCTGTGAATGTAGAAGCTTGAAGCCTTGTTAACTGTCGAGTTTGGTTTGTTGTTGGCGTGACATTACTTTTCATGGGTGGTGTGAGCAGGATCTGCTTCTTGCTGAACTACGCAGGATGAACGATGAGGTTGAAGGAGGCGCAATCGCAGTAGATGGCCTCGTTGGTGAGGCCAGTAGCAAGGCCGATGCATTTCAGCGGCAGTATGCAACAGTTGTGCTGCAGCTTAAAGAAGTGAACAAGCAGGTATGTCGCAGGAAAAAAGTGCGCAGTGGAACTATCGCCCCCTTTTTTCAGCTTTTTTGTAGCGTTCTACAGTTCACATGTGCAGCATTCATCTGTCTGGCTGGTAGCTACTGTCTTCACCCGAATAGAACGCCCAGTCATTATAGCTGTATTTAGTTAGGGCAACTTCGAGTCTAGAATCTAGATACGGTGATAATGACAGGGCGTTCTATTCGGTTGAAGACGGTAGGCATGTCCTTCTTAGGTGCTGTCTTCCCTGAATAGAATGCAGAGTGGTTGCCGCCTCTGGTGCGGTGGTTGATAGGGGTGATGAAGCGGTCATGAAGGGTTTTTGAGCGATCGTCTTTCGGTAATTTGCCCTCCCAATTTGAGCTGTACAGCATGGAGATGCTTCCTTCAGAATAGCGAGAGAGGGTTTGATTCCGTGTACATGTAGGGTTGTTCTCCTGGTGGTATGTCGTTGTAGGGCTTGGGTTTTAGTTACGTGTAGGACGTTCTGCTGGCCTTTACAGATATGAAGTGTTTCCGTAGGCAGTTTGGCCATCGTACGGTTCCGGCACAATTACGCCGCAGATGGGTGATGCGCCAAGAACTGGCATGACACCGCCAAAAATATATATATATGTGTGTATATTTTAAAATTGAAAATTGAATAAAGAACATCAGTTTTTTCCACTAGTGATGTATGATCTGGAGAGACATCATCCCAGTCAAAAATGATGGAAATTATTTTTTCAAAACACGTAGAGATGTTGCGATTTCGGGGGGTGTACATTGAGCAATCTGCACCAAGGTATGTGTTGCGTAACAGATGACACTTGAGGTTTCTGGTGTGATTGATGCTGTATGTAGGAAGTGGGAGTCCTTTTTTTTTTTTTTTTTTTTTTTTTTTTGTGAAACCGGTGTCATTGCTAGGAGAGATTGTGAGGTGTTCCCTTAAATCTTTTACTTTCTGCCTGCAGCTGTTCTGACAGTTGGATCTTGTGTGTGATTCCGGGGAGCAGGTAGAGAGGGCGCTCTTGAGATTGAGACAGAGAAACAAGTATCACGAGTCGACTTTACCACCATGGCAGAAGGGTTCGCCACAGATGTACTCTGGGGCAGGAATGGTGTATGGAGGTATTCCATCATCGCCATCGAATGTGAATGATGGTTCTCATCTCACAGCCTCTGGAAGTGGAGGCTTTGGAATTGGCATGTATGGGGGTCTGTCAAGTGGGCTACCCCTTGCTAGTGCAAGGGGAAATGGAAGTGTTTTTACTTCAGGCGTAGGTGTAGCGACATCAGGAAGCTCGGCTGCTGCCACTGGAAATGGGAGTGCGGTGATGAGTCCTGTCATTGAGGCTCCATTCCCAATCGGGGAGATGGCAGCATCTGCACGGCGTCAAGCAAGGGCGATGGTTGCCTCTGTTGTACAGGTCTGTCTGAACCGCCTTCGTAACTTGTCTTGCTTTCTCGTTCTCCACTTTGACGTAACCCACATGTGTTAGGATAGCAAAATTATTTAAAGTCCTAGAGGGGGGGGAAAATACCCCGAAGATGTCCGTGCACGTGCATGGGGAGCGGCAAGGGGGGGGGGGGGGGGGGGGGGGGGGGGGGGGGGGGGGGGGGGGGGGGGGGGGGGGGGGGGGGGGGGGGGGGAGAAAAAAAAAAAAAAAGATTCTCGGGGGGGGGAGGGGGGGGGGGGGGGGGGGTGTGTGTGTGTGTGTG